ACCCTATAGGCACAGATTTCATCACCAAAAAAGCACACCCGCACCACGAGGACTACAGGAAAACAGGGAAAGAAAACTGCAACGGCAATGCACCAAAGTAATTTTTCTTCCCAAAATGACCTCTTGCGGGCTGGTCCCCTGGTTCACAGGGAATCCAAAACTCACACCACGTACACACAAACGCTCACACATGCGGAGAGGAGTGGAGAAGGAGAGCGCCGGAGCCTACCGGGATCAAAAAACGCCAAAACACACTCAAGCCTCGGGGAAAAAAAAAAAAAAATTAAATAAATAAATAAATAAAGGAAAAAAAAAGGGAAAAAAAAAAAAAAAAATTAAATAAATAAATAAATAAAGGAAAAAAAAAGGGAAAAATAAGTTTAAAAAAGGAAAAGGGAAGACATTCAACCTCGGCATCCATCCTCCCGCAACTTTACCAGAGGCTTAGCGGACAGGGGAGATTTTGCTGGCGAGGAGCCCCCGGCCGCGCACAGCCCGCCGCCCGGTCCCGCCGTGCGCCCGCACAGCCGAGCCGAGCGGAGCCGGGCCGAACCGAACCGAGCCGGGCCGGGCCGAACCGAACCGAGCCGGGCCGGGCCGAACCGAACCGAGCCGGGCCGGGCCGGCCCCGCCGCCGCATCCCGGACACGGCTCCGGGCAGCCACACCGCAGCCCGGCGGCCGCCCCCGAGCCACGGGAGCGCGGACCCACGAGAGAGCGCAGCCCGGAGGCACGGCGGAGGGGCCGAGAAAAACAAAGCGCGCCCGCTTACCTTGCAGGAGAGCCGACATTTTCGCGCTTTAGTAAACAAACGAGCACCCGGGGAACAGCGGGCGCCTCGCCCGGGGGTCCGCCCCGCGGCGGGCAGCGCAGGGCCGGAGCGCGGCTGCGGCGGAGAGGCGGCGAGCCCGGCCTCGCTGGGAGCTCCCGCCCGCCCGCCGCGCTGCCCTCCGCCGAGCAGTCCCTCCCGGGCCGGCGGGCGGGCGGCGAGCCCCGAGCAATTTAAATTTCATCAATGGAAGAGGCGGACCCGCCGCGCCCCGGCTTTCGCCACCCCCGACCCTCCCCTCCCCTCCCCGCCGGGCCGCCTTCCCCCGGGGAGCTCCCGGCGCGGCTCCTCCCCGCTCCGGGAAGGGCCGGGCCGGGCCGGGCCGGCGCGGCAGCCAGGCCGGGGGCGGCCCCGCCCCGCCCCGCCGCGGCCCCGGGCCGGGCCGCGGGGCGCCCTCGGCGCGGCCGGGCGGTGCCGGCGGCGGCCGCGCCGAGCCCGCTGCCGAGCCCACGTCCCGAACCCGAACCCGAACCCAGCGGCCGAACCCGGACCCACCGGCCGAGCCCACCTCGTCCTGCGGCGCCGCGGGCGGGGCCGGCACCCGCCCCTCCCCCCGCGGCGGGGCGGGGCCCGCGCCCGTCCCGGCGGGCCCCTCGCGCGCGCCGCCGCCGCCGGAAGTGGGCGGGGCCCGCGAGCCGCCCGCCCCGCCCCGCCCCGCCCCGCCCCGCCCCGCCCCGCCCCGAGCGGCGGCCGCGGGGGGCGGGGGCCGGCGGAGCGCCGGGACACGGCTCCCGGGAGCGGGGACCGGGAGGATGCTGGAGCGCCGGGACACGGCTCCCGGGAGCGGGGACCGGGAGGATGCTGGAGCGCCGGGGACACGGCTCCCGGGAGCGGGGACCGGGAGGATGCTGGAGCGCCGGGACACGGCTCCCGGGAGCGGGGACCGGGAGGATGCTGGAGCGCCCGGGACACGGGACCGGGAGGATGCTGGAGCTCCCGGGAGCGGGGGCCGGGCGGGCTGCAGCCGCTGAAAGGGGGCTCGGGGCGGCTCTGTCGCGCCGCGGCTCCTGGCAGAGGCTGTAGCCGGGCGGGACTCGGCCTCTCCTCACCCTGGCAGAGCACACGGCCTCGAGCTGCTCCTCAGGAGGTGTAGGGTGGCCAGGAAGGAGAATTTTTTCAAAGACATTGGAACATCACGTCTGACATTGGAATGCTCGGGCGGTGGTGGAGTCCCCGTCCCCGGAGGTGTTCCGGGGAGCACTGGAGGTGGCACTCGGTGCCGCTGACTGACCCGGTGTGTTCGGTCAGAGGTTGGACTCGATGATCCCAGAGGGCTTTCCTAACCTCTGATTGATGCTGTGATTCTGTTAAGTATTTCTGATTTGTGGAGTGTACCGGGAGCTAAATCATCTCCACCCATGGTTTTCCACCCAGCTTTATGGCCACGTTCAGAGCTGGGGAGGTGCCTGCCCTGGAAGCACACAGGTGCCGGAGGCCAAGCGTTGCTCCTGAGCTAGGCTGTGATTTCTCTCTTTGTCAACTATTTTCCCCATTTTTGCCTGCAGACACTTCCCTGCAGTGCTTGGGCTTCCCTGTGCACTGTGGTGACACCCAGTTATGGTAGAAACCCCAGTGACCCTGCCTGCTATAAATACCCCCCAGCCCCCTGCAGGTAAATCACCACCCTGGCTTTTACTGTCTCTTTTGTTTTTTAACCATCTCTATATAGCCTTGCAATACATGCTTGTGTATAAAATCATACGTAATGCATCACTGAATCCCTACACCCACAGGGAGTCCAAGTGCAGGCCAGACCAGTGCCCTGTTCCCATGAGAGAGGGGTGTGGGAACTGGCAGGGTGCTGCTGAATTCCCGTTGCAAGAGGTGGATGGGTTCAGCCTTGCCTGGGATGGGCAGGGTGCTCTTCATCCCTCCTGGCTGAAGGTCCCTGTAAGTTCTCTGGGATAAACCAGGTAACCACCAGGATGAGCCAGTCCATCTGGGGGTGGGCTGGCTCACCTCTGCATCTACCTGTTCCTTGGCTCTTAATAAAACCAAAAATGCGGAGACCCTGTGAATTTTACATCCCAATCCACTGGACCTGGGAGCATCCCTTTTCATTTTGTACTGCCAGACAGTACGGGGCTTACTGTACTGTCACAGGCATGCTGCCTTCTTGACATCAGGAATGCCCTGAATCCTCTTTATGTCCTGGATCCATCAGGAAAAATGTCCTGGATTCACTCCAGAACTTCAGCAAAATCCTGATACTTTTCTCTAGACATTGACGGGAGCTTGCTATTCTCTTAAATGCAAGATCAGCCCCACTCCTGTCCTTGATTATTAGTTAAAATGCTTTAATTTAAACCTGTTGCTCTCTTCCTACAGCTCAGCTCTGCTATGATGCCACATCCAATACCTGCAAGCCAAACACAACGTAGGTATTCTCTGGATAGGACTGGGCCGACTTTTGTACAGCTGTCCCTTGAAAGGATAATTACAGGCATGATTTACAGGGTAGTAAGCAGAGATAACTTTTTATCTGCCAGCAATAAAATGAATTCCAGGAACTTGTCTCACTGTGATGGAACCAGGGGAAAACACTCCCTCCTTCGCTGCGTTTTATGGAAGGAAGGGAACAGTCAATACTGAGCACCAACATTTCGGGTTAAATAGACACAGGAACGCCAAAGAGAGGTCTAAGTGCCCCAAATTAAAAAGAACCTTTTGCTCCCACAGTGCCTGATGTCACCATCTCAGCCAGGGGGTTCAGCATCTTCCAGGAGCCCGGGGCTGCGTCACAAAGGAACAACAGGATAGAGGCACCCAGCCCAAACCTGGGCTGGTTTTATGCCTCATAAATAAACTGCCTCCTAAATATGCCTCATAAATAAAATAAATCAATTCAGTCGTAGTGATTTCTTTTGGTCTCATCAACTGAGGAGCTTACACCAGTGCTGCCAAAAGTACTGGTCCTGTCCCCCGCATTAGTGCAGCCCTTCTCCCCAGTGCTGAGTTTTGGCTCAGCACTGGCAGTTTTTGGCTGGGAGAATTGTCTTTGGGATGGGCTCATTCCTGGCTTGCAGATGGGTGGTGACAAGGGGAGGTGGAAAAGCCCTTCTGAAGACCCAGCCTCACCCTTTCATCTCATTTATTTCTTCTTAGCTCTCCTTACTAAATTTCCCACTGAGGACATTTATTTTCCCTCTGTCCTTTATTTTTCAGCCACTTCATTTATTGCCAATGAACTGTCTTGTTTGAGCTGAGAAGGGTCAGCAGATAAAGGAAATCTGTGTGTTTATGGGGAAAAGACAGTGTAAATGCCAAGAAAATATGGCTGGGAGGCAACTGGAAAGCCAAGGTGTAAACACTTTAATTTACTGACTAGGGAAGAATAGAAAAATCTTAGTTGTCGTTGTTGTTGTCCAAATAATATAAATGATAACACAGCTGCTTTATGGCCATTTCTTTCTGAGTTATGTATATTTAATAGTAATATATACTATAAATAGTATGTATACTATACATATGAGATCAATACATAATACAAATACACAATATATAATACTGCAACATGTATATATGTAATAATAAATATATAGGTAGTGATGTGCATATATGTAGTAATATGTATATGTGATTTCTATATCTTATGTGTATTATATACATATGATATTTTTTCTATATTATGTAAATATATATTTACAACTTTATCTACAATATAAATTCAGGAATTTATATACATGTAATTCCAGGTGCATCCAGCAAAAAGTAGACATGATACCCACACAGATCCCCAAGGGGGGGGTGTATGTATCTAACATAATTATTTTGTACTTAAATATTTATATCTATTTTATCTATATACATTTATATTATGGGTGTATGTATTTACACAGTCTATAAAAACTGTGTAATGAATATAGTTATATATCGGAATTTTTTTTTTAATTTTTTGTTTTTTTTTTTAATCTGAATTTTGGCTACCTCTGAGCTCCCTTGGGTGGGGCACACAGGGCAGGGTTTCACCTGAGCTCTTCCTGCTCCTGTTTGTCCAGCGAGTGCAGCAGCTGCCCAGCACATTCCCGGTGGCTCCGGAGATTGTTTCCTGACCAACACCCATTCGCAGTATTTCCCAAACCTCATCGCCATCGCTCCCACTCCCTCTTCCCCTTCCAATGATCCCTGCGGGCTGCGGAGCAGCCGAGTTCAAACAATCCGTGCTCTCCCATCGGCATTAAGGAGTTTAATAGCACCAAACAGATAAAAGGTTTCAAAGTGCATCATTAAAAAATATCCCTGTGGCACCGATCTGTGATACCCCAGGGCTTCAACATGACATGCAGAAACCTGTGGCTGCTTTCTTCTGAAATCCTTCCCGATTGTTCAAAAAGATGTAAAAATCCACATTTCATTTTAGTTTAGTTTAGTTAATTTAAGAAACAAACAGGGTTCTCCCTGCCCATTCTCTGCTCACACAGCTATTCTTCAACTCCACGTGGTTCAAAGCTGGAACAAAATAAAATATAAAATTAAATTAAAATAAGAGAATATTTTTAATTCTATGTCTTTCTGTCTGTTTCTTTTCCATGTTTAAAGCAAGGACACACAGTACACCTTTGGGGCAACAGCTGAAAGCCACTGAATCACAAAAGCCTGGTCACACCTGAAAATCTCCTGTTCACAACCTCAGCAGGGACCATCTATAGGTTTTGGGTGCTTCCCCTTGGAGCAGCAGGATTTTTGAATAGTCACTTATCCAGAGAGGAGCAGAACAGAGGCTGCAAGGGTAGGGTCTCCTGGTTTGGTGGGAGTTCGGTGGTGCTGGGAATGGCAAGGAGCTGCTCAGGCCTCACAAGGGAATGGGGATTATTTCTCCCACAGACAGGCTGGACAAAAGGTCTGGAATAATACAGGGTCTATTTTTACCTCCCTTCTTGCAGGAATTTTGTGGCAGCCGGCGCCTGGTGGCACGCCGACACGCAAACACCCTCCCGGCTCTGGGGACAATGCAGCCCTCTCTGCTCGGAGGTGCTGGGGGAAAGACAGCCAGAGGGAAAGGTCCTGTCCTGCCAGCTGCTTCTCTGCATGCTGGAAGTCTTCCTACTGGTTTTTCACAGAAAACAAAACTCTCCTGACAAGCCCTCATGACGAACAACAGATGAGTCTTGTCCTTATCGCCACCCGGTTGTCACCCCTTCACATTTGCCCCTGGAGCTATTCCCACTGCTATAATTAACGGCAAATCAGGTGTCAGCTTGCTCTGCTGGACACAGCCGTGGAAATTCTTGGCACGGCGCTCTTCCTCTCGGGGCTGGAAGCCAAGTGCTGGAGACATGGGAGAAAAAGGGCTCATTACGCCTGCAGGGGGGTGAGAGCCTTCCCCTTCCTGCCCTGTGCACCCAGGCCTGGATCTAGGACCTAGCTGAGACCCAGTGACCACGACTGCACTTCTGTGTGCCCACCCAGGACAGCCTTGCTGGCTCATCCACCTCCCAAGGTTGCAGCCATGGTCAGGCAGGTTCCCTGCAGCCAGGAGCATGGTGGTGGACCTTGGGATGCTGGTGCTGAGGGCCTGCCCTGGACCTGGAGGTCTGCAAGGGATGGGGCTCAGCCCCTGGGTGATGAGCCCCCCTCGCTGCCCCACCAAGACCAGGCTTGGTGGTATCAAAGCTTCCTAGCCCAGAGGATTAGGGCCTAACACTACTGGTGGCCCTCCTGTGGGTCTGGTGAAGCATCTCAGTAGGGTTTTGGTGCCTGCCTGGCAGCTGGAGTCAAGGGGAGAGAGATGGTTTCCAGGTCACTCCACTTGGCCAAGCGGAGCATGAAGAGGTGTTTGACCGGCCAGTAATTGGGTCTTAAATGTTGGACATGCAGAAAGAAAGGACATGCACTGGGGCATGGTGAACCTGGCTATGAAAAGCACCAAACAGGTGAGTTAAGACTAAAGGTGTTACTGTGATTTTCAGGTTTCTCTACCCATAGACCATGGGGTTTTCCTAATGAATCATAGATCTGCAGAAAAACAGAGGCCAGGAAGGAGCCCTGGAGCTGGGACCTCTGGTGACCCCTCCTCCAACTCCTGCTGGATCAGGTTGTTCAGAGCCAAGGTTTTCATGGAAAACATATTTTTTCCTGGTATCCAACCAAAATTTCTCTTCTTCCACCTTGTGCCCACTGTTCCTTGTGTAACCTCTGAGAAGAGCCTGCCTCCAACCCTGTCTCTGCTCTGACATTTCCCTTTGCTGGGCTCAGTGAGGTTCCTGATGGACCTTTTCTAGGGATGAAATTTCTGGCTATCCTCTCTGGATAGCTCCTGTTCTCAATAATCTGAGAGAAATTTAAACTACTGACACATCTTAGTACAAAATCTCAGATTATGAAAACAGGGAATATCTTCAAGCAGTTAGGAGACACATGCCTAAATGCACTAGTTTATGCTTCATCCAACGGGTTGCAGAGAATTTTAGTTTTTATTTTGAAGTTTAATGGTAAGCTTTAAAGCAAGGTTAATTTAAGGTAGCATTAGAATCTGGATGAGAAGGGAAATATGTAATATTCTCATGGAACTGAACAGCAGCAGAGACTTAGGGTGAAAGAGAAGGTTAACCCTTAGTTATAAGGTGATTTAACTACAAATTAGAACAGTAAATTTATCCATACTAAAAATGTCCATCTCCTCTCCCCCACGCATCACAAAAAATAATTTGGCTGCATACTTACTTAACAACTACCTCTATATCTGCTTCTTCCACCTGCAATTCTGTATGAAACATGTGCTATCAAATACAAAGAGGAAAAAACAGAACAAAATAAAATCTAAGCTTCCTTCTAACAGCCACTGAGTTTATTAACACACACACACACATTAATCCCTGAGGCAAACAAGGAGCAGAAATGCACAGGAAAGACTTAACTGGCATCATTCAATGCTCTGTTTGTTCAGCAGTCCTTCCCTCCCATGTGCTGGGATCCTGCCCAGGCTTTTGCAGCTTGCAAAACTCTCTTCCCACCAATGTCCCCTCCAGAGAGATGGTTTTTTCCCCTATTCACCACATTTCTGAATATTTTTTCTTGAACAGTCACCCAGCCAGTTGGTTTCTGAGGGAAAATTAAACCTGTGCTCACAAGCCCACATGGAACAGCACAGGTTTGTCCCAGAGAGGGAATGGTGTTCTTCAGCCAGCTCCTAGTCTTGCAATGCTGCAAAACCAAGCAGAATACCAGCCCCAGTGTGTCCATATGATGCTTTCCCCCCTCCCCAAAATGCATAAAATAATTTCCATTTTATTTCTTGTGATGGTTGTGCCCCTTACTGGCAGATCACCTGCCTCCTTCCCTGGCATGTGCAGAATTACATGCACCACTGCTGGAGTAAGGAACAAAATATCACCTTTTTTCAAGCATATAAAAACCTCTCAAGGCCACCAGATCTTTTCTGGACCCGTGGTTCAACTGGAAGAAGCCTACCCCTTGATGGGTGTTCTCTGAAAATACAGTTTATAGTAGAAAGGAAAAGATGATGTATTTATTGCTACAAATGGACATGTTTTTCACCTCTTCCATTTCTAGCCAGATCATCCACTGCCAGGCAAGCTCCCTGGAGCACCTTGGAAATGATCTCAAGGACTTTTGTGGCAGGACAGTGACTCCCCACAAAACCTGCCCTGCTTTTTTACCCCTTCTCCAATGGAAACATTTATTTCATCCCTTTAGTTCTTGCCTGCTCCACACTGGATTTCCCAGCCCCATCTCTGTGGAACAACCTTTTTCACAGTTTCTTCCACATATTAAATCATTTTATTTAAGGCCACATTTTCTCCCCTTCCTTAGTTAGAGAGAGACAAAAGACTTCAGCTGGAACCCCTGTTAAAATGTTTTCTTCACGCTACTAAACAGTCATGGAGAAACCAGATGAAACATCAGAAAACAATTTATTTCTGGTGTCCACACCACTGCGCATCCGTGTCCCTGACCCCATGAGGGGGTGATTTGGAACTTTAAGGTCCCTTCCAATGCCAACCATTCTAGGATTCTATGATATTGCCACCATAATCCCTTTTTGATGGCAAAGTCAGAATCCTGGATGATTTTGGATGACCTCACAGCTGTTCAAGCTTTGCTGGTGGCAGCACAAATCCTCTTGGAGCCCTGTCAGCTTTCATCCTTTCCAACCAATCTTGGGGTGGAAGGGGTTGAAGTTTGCCCCCAGTACTGTTCTTTGAATGTTGGATGATAAATCCATCTGTTAGCTGTGAAACATCTTTAAATGTTTTTTCCATTTCCAAGGACATGCTTATTGAAAATGAAGCCCATGCAGTGAAACTGCTTTGCAGCCATGAAGGGTGACACATCACAGAAACAAAGCCAGCCCCTTCTTGTACTGGGTGCATTTTCACAGAGGAGGTGTCCTAAAATTTTCAACCCTGATGAAGTTTGCACTGGGGTTGGCATACAACGAGCCCCAAAGATCCTTGCCCAAAAAACCCTTGTCAAGGGAAGCACGGTGAGTGGTTCCTAAGGGTCATTGCTCAGCACCTCAGAAATAGAGGTTGGGATAGGAAACCAGGTCTGTGAGTGGCAGGATGAGGCCAGTGAGGAGCCTGAATTCCTCATTCCAGCAGCAGAGCCCCAGCTACTGAGGGACAGGAGACCTGGGCTGCCTGATATAATGGCACTTGGGGCATACAATGCCATGTGCTCCAAGAGCTGAATTTTGCCCCATCAACAGCTCCTGAAGGCCTGCAGCATCTCCCATTCTGCAAAGGGGCCCCGATCAAATTCCTCCAAAAATATCCAACACTTGGACTCAATGACCTTAGGGACTCAATGATCTTTTCCAATCTGTGATTGTGGGACTCTGTGTGAAGGTGGCTGCTTCAAAGTCAGGCTTTTCTCCACAGCTAAACCTGCTCCTGTTCAAGACCACTTTCCCGCCTTTTTTTGCCCTAGTTTTGCTGAAGCCTGGGGTAAAACACGAGCGGGTTTAATCTTCTGCTACACGTCTGTGCTGGAGAAATCCAGGCGCAGCCAGAAATGTTTGACAAGCTTATCAAAGGCAGTAAATGTTCTCTGTGGAGTGAAGAGGCTTTCCCAGGAGGTTGTCTCCACAAAACAGGCAGGATCCCCGGGTTCACCCGCAGCTGTGGGAGATGCCCTCACAGCCGCCAGCTCAGGGTGCGAGGAGCCGGCAGGAGCCGGGGCTCTGCTGAATAAAAACACCTCCGAGGAGCCAAATCCCACAGCTTCCAGCAGGAAAACTTTGGGAAGCGATTTGTTAGGAAGGGCACGCCACGGGAGCTGCAGGGGTGCCAGCTGGAAGCCCCAAGTAAGGCAAGCAGCAAGTTGATTTACTGTGATGGCCACGTTGCAGTGTGTGAGGGGAGGGTGCTGCTGGCCTTGTCAGCCACACGGGTTTGAGCCAGTGCTGGGCCGGGCAGCAGCCAAAAATGCTCTGAAAATGCTCTGCATGTGTATGTATATATAGCTATATGTATAGTATGACCAAGCTAACCCGAGCTTTGGCATCCCTCATCCCCACCACACTCATCCTCATCCACCTCATCCCTCATCCACCACGCTGGGCTTTGAGACAGGGTTTGTCATTCTGCCCCCTTGGGAAGTTTGGGATTGAGAAGAAAGTTTAAAAAAAACAATAATAATTTTTTTAAAAATCTTCTTTTTCATGCAAAGGGAAGTAGGCTGAAAAAAATCCAGACTGAAAAATAGGCTGTCAAATGGCCATGCAAGAGGTTAAGCTGGCAGGTACTACATCCCCAGGGGACGTGGCATTTTTTTGCTTGGTGCTGTTCCTGCTGAGCCTGCAGCTCAAGGGGCTGGTCCTCATCTCGTGGCAGCTCTGCCCAGCCCAGCACAGGTGCCAGCTGCTCCTCCTTGCCCTCTGTCCCAGCGTCAGTGCTGAGGTGGCTGTGCTCCAGCAGCTGCATGGCGTGACCGAGCCCTGCCTCCAGCTGCAGAGCCACCGCCCCACCACCCTCCTCATCACAGCCACCTCTCCCTGCACCCAGGTGGCTCCAGCCTCCCGGCAATGCTTTGGGTGCTGTGGTCCCCCAGCGTGCAAGA